CACACACACACACACACACACACGCAGGCTGCTTCAAGCGTTGTGATAGATAGTATATTTCAACAAATCATCACAGCAAATCTTGTAGTCTGAGCCGAAGACCTTGAAGAAGAACGAGGATCCTGGAAGCCAAGTGATGATCCTCGTACTCCCAATTACATTCCCATTTTCCAACAAGGACACGGTTCGTCCGACGTTCAAGTGGTCCCTGATGATAATTGATTCCGTGCAATACAGGCAGCTTGTCATCATCACTGGGGATGTCATCAAAATCCTTGTCAGGGCTAACAACCCTGGCACAAAAGGATTCAGCAATCAGGCATCCATCTTCAACTCTTAAGAACCCGACGCCGAGCCACTTCATCAGCTCTGCATAAGCGTAGAAGAGGATATTCTCAAGATCGGCTTGGGCTATCACCACGCTTCTGGAACTGGCGTCAGTCTTCATTTTCTCCCCATCTACTTCTCCCTTGCTGGAAATGCTTTCGGCGCCACTTTGCTCCTTCTTGCCACCACTTTGGTCATCTATCCGAGGTGCCGGCGTCACATCGAGAGCATCGGGAATGTCGTCATTGCAACCGCTTTCTTTCATCAGGGCGGGCAGCAAATCTACCCCTTTCTCTGTGGAATCGGCCTCTTTCTCGCCCCCTCGCCCCTCCCTCTTACCTTCATCAGGCTGGCCACAGGACGCTGCAGGCAAGTGGCAAGAGGTATCGACATAATCCTGAAGCGGCAAGAGGCAAACTTCGGCTGCATGCTCAGCTGACCATTCTCCTTTAAGTGTGGGCTCCGGTCCTCTACAGCTCGGCAAAGCTGGGCCAGAATGGACGGGTGACACTGCAGGCTGCCATCGCTGCCTCTTTGCTGGGTATGTAGCCACTTTTCGCCCCTCAGTTTCCGTTTCATCTTCTTCATTCGTGCCGTCTCCTTTATGTGGTGTGTCTGGCGACCTTTCGACTCCGCCATTCGATGACGGCGGCGGTGATTCCCCCTCTCTTGATCTCTTCCAGCAGCAAGCACCAACTGTAGGTGCCGTGTGAATCCCGTCTACGACAACTTCCTGGCTGCCTTCTTCTGTTGGTTGCTCTTCTTCTTTTGCAACAGTCAGCGAGACAACTTGACAGACACCGCTAGGCTCATTGCCATTTTCATTTATGATCTCTCCTCCTTCCTGTCGAGAGCGCCGTTGTTCCGTCATTTTTACCTTCCCTATTGCGTCAGCATTTCTTCCAGTCTTGTCAGCAAGCATACCATCACTATCTGCGCGCTTACTGCCGACGGTCTTGGTCTGACCACAACTACGTATAAGATTGGCACAGCCATCCATCTTCACCTGATCGCCTGGACAACGAGGATCGTCCGTTATCCCCGCATCCTCATCTGCCTCTTGTGAGGCAAAAATGAATTGGGAGCAGCTCAGAGTGACCTGATGCTTAGGAATTCCAAAAATAGAAGCAGCACCATCAGGGCTCACAAGAGTGGCTTTCTGTCCATCGGTTCCACTAATTATAACTCCGTCGACGAGGACTTGTCTCATTGGCACGGGCACGGCAATCGAGAAATCCGCATCAGACTCAGACACTCCCCTAGGAGGAGGAGACCACTTGCTGGGACCTTCGCTTTCGTTCCTCACAAGGTCCTCTGCAGGAATGACTCCCTTTCTCAGCTGTACCTTTCTCTCCTTTTGCATGCTCTTCCCTCTATTGTCGTCGTCATAGTCATCGTCGTGCCGGGCTTCACACTCCTTGCGCGGTATAAGGGCGTTGGTTGCATCGGCCGCACGAGCTGTTGCTTGCTTGTCAACAACACAGAGGTCAACCTCCTCCTCCTCCACCATCTCGTGTCCGTCCGGTCGAGCCAACGCACACTTCTCCCCCGCCTCGCCGACCGCCGTCTCTTCTTGATCTTCCGGGCCGCCTTTCCTACATGAACCACCCTCCAGAACAACCTGATTGATTTTTCCAGTCTTCCTCTGCAAAGTCGATTTCGATACCATCGCCCTCCGCAACATAACGTCCAACTCCCCCTTCACAAGGCTCTTGACGAGAGACCTTGACACAGTCAAATTGATGCAGCCTCGTGAGGGAATCACAATTGTTTTCCCATTAGGAGGCACATGGCATGGGAGGTGGAGTTCCCGCTCTATTTTTGACTGCAACACAAACATCTTCGGCTTCTCTCCATGGACTAACATCACATGTCGAGGCTCACACTGATGTATCATCCGCAAAATGCCCTTTGCGTCGACATGTGCTGTAAACGACAGTTGGTGGACCTGCGCCGAGTACATACAAATGAATGTGTTCAGGCAAAAGTGAGCAAAACTGCCGAGAATCGAAAACACAACGTAGAGGCTGAAGACTAGAACATTCCTAATACGGCAGTTCTTCAACACAGTCCAATTTTTTTTTTCATCATTGTGCTACTTATGTCGTTGCCGATGTACTCATGAGAGGCGACCTGAAAAGAAAGATTCTTGACACATTCCTAACCTGTCTGGACTCTGGACACATACCCTGCACGTATTTTGAACAGCGTACACCCAGTCCGCCTCATACTACGTGGGCGCGCGGTATTATATGGCCTGTGTGTGATGGTACGTGCGTGTGGGGCGGGCCATACCATGCGGAGTGGATGGTACTAACACACACACGCACTCCAACCAAAAAGGAACGCGGACACTAGGCTGTTTTTCGGGGCACCCCGGCAACCAGCTTGTGCCTGGATATATGCGCAGATGCCGGCCAGGCATGACCCCCGGGCAGGGTTAAAGGCAGCCCTAGCACAGAAAAAGAAAAGAAAAAAAGAAAAATAATCCGGGAAAAAACTGTTGTGTAGAATTGCCATGCAATTTGATGCAAAAGACTTTGGGCTGAGGGTCACATCAGAATTTCTCACGGAGTAGAAGATTAAAAGAAAAAAATTACAGAATCAGAGTAACGCACCCCCCTTTAAACCCCTTTAGCCCATTTAAAAGCAATGTCTACCCCCCTTTTCCCCCCCTTGACAGCCAACACTTAAAAAAAGAAAAGAGCCCGGATTTGGGCTTCTCTGGGGAGGCACAATAACCCCCCACCATCAGAAAAAAAAATGAAAAAAAAAATTGACCCCACTTATTCCCATGCCCAGGTACCCCGGGCGTCAAAACCTCCGGGACCCCCTTTTTCCCCCCTTGACAGCCAACACTTAAAAAAAGAAAAGCCCCCGGATTTGGGCTTCTCTGGGGAGGCACAATAACCCCCCACCATCAGAAAAAAAAATGAAAAAACAAATTGACCCCACTTATTCCCATGCACAGGTACCCCGCGCGTCAAAACCTCCGGGCGACTTGCCCCGATGCCTGGCCCGTGCTGCACGGCCGCCGGTCCAAGAAACCTAGGTAGCACAGACACGGAATAAAAAAGGACATGGCCAACATCAGGCACAATTCGGCTCTCGCGTCCGGGCAAGTCGCCAGGCGGTATTATGTGAAATGAGCAGTCTTATGTCGCCCATGTTCTACTATCTGGGTCACATCGTACCATGTGTAGTGGGCAATACCATATGGACCAGATGGAACCATGTGGGATGTCGGTTTGGCGGTGTATGTGGGGCAAGGTCATACTATGTAGACGGGGCGGTGCTGTGTGGACTGGGTGATGCTAAGTGGGTTGGGTGGCACTATGTGGGGTGAGTCTATCATGTGCACTGGGTGGAACTGTGTGGGGTGGGTGGCATTATATGGCCCAGGTGATACTATGCGGGTTGGGTGGTGCTCTGTGGGTCAAGTCATAGAATGTGGACTGGATGGCACTCTGTGGGCTCGCTGATACAGCGCGGTGTACGTGGGCGAAGGTATGTGGGGTAGGTGGTACAAACGAAAACGATCCCAGAAAACAAAGCAATACAAACAAAACACAAAAAAGATTGAAACAGCAAGGAAAAACCACGGGTTGGCTAGCAGTCGCGCTATGCCCCCAACTGTTGGTAAATGGAACTGAGCTCAAATCCTGGGTAAGATAACAAGTCTGGGATAGTAGTGGCAGGTAGGTAGTGAAGGTGAATTTGAAAGAATTTGAACGATGATGAAAGATTTGACAGAAGAATATAGCGTACTTAAAAATAAAAATAAAAACGAAAAAAAAACAAACAACTCTGGGATATGCTTTCCCTTTCAGGGTGAGAACACGTGTGATTCGAGCTCCTGACCAAGCTGCTAACCCTCATGTGTCTTCCTTGCATCCAATTGCATCCGCAATGTGCTTGTATTCAAGCATTCGAAACTGCACAACTATATACGTATTCGCCCCCCCCACCCCCCAACATACGTATCCCCCCCCCCCCCCCCTCCCCCTCTCTTTTGCAGTCACCTCGCTGGGATCCGACAACTCTGGGATATGTTTTACCCTTCAGGTTCAGCTCGCCAGGACTCGGGCTCCTCACCAAGCTGGCTAACCGTCGTGTGTCTTCCTTGCATCCAAATGAGCCCACTACGTACTTGTATTCGAGGCCCACTACATTCGAGGTTGTACACCTACCTATTCCGCCCCCCCCAAAAAAAACACTTTTTTGGTCACCTCGTCAGGACTCTACCTCCTGAACGGGATGGCTAGTGTCATGGGCCCACTGTGTGCTTGTATTCATCCATCCATGGGGTTCAAAGCGACGGGCAGAAATGGAACTGGCACACCCGCCAGCACCGCCCGAAAAAGACAAAAAAAAAAGGTGATCTTTATGCCCACTCTCCACGCCCACACCTAAGCCCACCAAACGACAAACGGCCAGAAAAGAGAACTCGCGACTTGCAAAACGACAAAATGGTCAAAACGGTAAGAACTGGCGATCAGCACCGCAACCATTAGGAATAATCCATTCCCCCCCTCCTCCCTCCCCCCAACTAACAAAACGGATTCAACCCGCCAGAAAGGAAAACGAAGAGCAGAGCTCCACAGAATTCGGGCCCCTGATGTGCACTGTGCAGGGCTGCACTTCTATCTCAGAAACCGGTATAAGAGCGTGTCGGATTTTGGTTTTGCCCATGACTGCCTTCCAGACCTGGTTACTTGACACATTACTAAACAGTCCCGAGTCTCGACACATTCCCGACACAAATCCCGCACACCTTCCATTAAACATATTTTTGGCACAGTCCCTGAACATTCTTGACACATGCCCTTAATATTCTTTGCAACTTCTTCACACGTTCCCTCCTGTGCACGTGGCCAGTCCTACTCATGTCACTGCTGATGTGTTTACTAATCCTTTCTGTTCATTCATGCACATACATCGGGTAATGTTTCATCGAGCCGACAGTGCTGGAGTACCTGTGTGAGTTCTGACGCGGTGCTGGTGCTTCAGGGCTCGTTGAGAGGAAGCAACGACGGTCTGCGCAGGGGAGTGAGGCTCCGCGATGTGGAATTGGGCTGTGGGCCATAGCTGACTACAGAGGTTTGAGTTGCAGGGAGGAGGAAGAATCCAGAGTCTTGATGGATCCGAGTTCCCGGTTTGTTGAACACGGTTCACTCTTGGTTGCGATTCTTGGGTTCTTCTGATCGAGCTGAAGAGCGACGAGGGACTTACGGATCGATACAATTCAGTTCTTCTTGAGTGAGTGCCATATGTAACCGCCCCTTGGACCAAGACGATGGCGATTACAGTTGCTCACTCACTGATCCATTGTCTACTTACTTTCACAAGCTCTCTTCTGGCAAGTGACCTCTACCATCATGTATGTTAGTTAATGTACTACAGTAATTGCTCACTCGCGGATCCATTGTCTACAGTAATTGCTCACTCGCGGATCCATTGTCTACTTACTTTCACAAGCTCTCCTCTGGCATGTAGCTCACTCGCGGATCCATTGTCATCATAGCATGTGCATGGGGACATGTTGATGTAACATGGACTTGGCCAGGACCAGCATTGAAAGGTCGCTGACCTTGATGTCTCACTCTCTTCGGATTCTATTCGACCTCCGCTGGGCATATCTCCGTCTGGTGTGACGCAAATCCGTCTCCAAATCTGCTTTGTCATCATAGCATGTGCATGGGGACAAGTTGATGCTCTGCTGGATTGCATTCTCAAGCAGTAACATAGACACACAAGTCACCCCATCGACCCACAAGGAGTTTGCCCACATAGCTCTGTCTGGTCAGACGTCGTCAGGTAGCCCAGTCGATGGGGGTCTTTGTTGATGTCGCGAACAAGACAAGACGGAACAACAGAACAACAGCAAACACAGACAGTGGCAAACACAACATCCTCAGTCTGAAGTTCTCTGAACACGAAGGGGGGGAATAAGATCAGAGCAAAATCCATACATACCTTGATCCGAACCTCGACCGACGTCCGCTTGTCAACATCGACCCGGGATAGCTTTCCTCCCATCAGCTTGTTTCCTACGGTCCCAGCGACGCAGTATCTGTGAAGTCACAATTCGCAGTCTCAGCATGCTGCACAATCTTAAATCCGAGCTGCTAAAAAAACAATAATAATGGTTGCAGAATAATGACAATCACGGACAATACTGTAATGGCCTGGAAAAAAAGAACAGTGTACACAGTGAAAAATGAGGTATATTGACCATTCTGGCTCTTTTTGTTTGTACTCATGCTTGCCGGTGATAAGCAACCGGACTGACACCCTCCAGAATAGAAGGGGCTTGGGTGTCTTTGGGTGTTTTTTAAAGAAGAAAAAAACAGAGGTATATTGACCATTTGTGCAAGAGACAGAAAGGCCACTAATCCATGATTTTGGACCCATATACAGGAGAGGCCAAACACATCCACATCCAACGACGTCATCTTCACAGAGAGAGCTGATCTCACAAACAAACTAGCAGCAGAGTCGAAAATAAGTCGTGCCAATCTGGGAAATATGGAGAGAGGGTCATGTAAGGAATGCAGTGTGTCGTTTCCTGTTTGCTAAGTAGAACTCCTCACCCCTCGCCAGCGACACATACACAAAAGAAAGAAAGCACGGTTGCAACGACGAGAATGGAGTCTGTATTGTGG